TGGATATTATCCTATCACAGACAGCATTGTACCTCATGACTGATCTGGATATGTTCTTTTTGACAATGAATGCAACACCATTCTTCTTCAATTTGTCATTCCCAGCGTAGTAAACCATGTGGTTGTCAGATTCAAAATGGCCAATACCGGTCCATTTCAACTCACTCATGCCTAGGATATCGGTGTTTATGCGTTCCATTTAATTTTTGACAATTTCCAATTTCCTAGATTCATACTTCGTACATTCCATGTTCCAATTATTAATGGATGTTTACAGCTGTTTCTCTTCTTTTTGAGTTGTGCCTCACAGCAAATGAAGGTCCTGTGGGCTTTACTCCCATGGGCTTTACTGCATTCATGTCATCATGGTCAATTCTACTTTGAGGAGGCAGCTCTTCCCCATTCACATTTTGTGTGCCTTCCAACCTGAATCTGACAGTGTTTCTCTGCTATTCATAAGGTGTTCAGTGACTAAATATTTGGAAGTAGTTCGTCACTCCTTCTTCCTCCTAGTCTGTCTTCGTCTGGAAGCTCATGTGAAACCTGTCCACTACTCATCTGTCAGTTTGTCAGACTGTGGTGGCTTGTGAGTTGCTGTGATTCTGGAAGACGACGGTGTATGCCCTCATATAGCCCATGTACCAGAGGATCTCTTCATCAAGATTTCAGGCCCAACATCAGTTTCTGGCTCTGAGTTGCTGATTCATAGGTATCAGTGTTTATGGGTTTGTATGTCCTATACCAGAGGTGGCAGTAACAGCCTGCCTCAGTTCCACTCCTAGCTCTACTACTTACCAACTGTGTGACTTTGGCTAATTCAGTTGCTTGACCTCTCTTGACTTCTCTTTGACAATCTCAAAAATAGAGCGGTCCATGTCCCTCCCAGCCAGGGCTCCTTTGCATATGAAATGAGCTTGAGTGTGTAAACCGGAAACAGTACTTAGCCCCTGGCCCATATCACGAGTGGCATGTGTTTGCAGCTGTCAAAAGTATCTCAGTGACAGATGTGATCACATTGCCCTCAGTATGGAGTCCTGGTGTGGTGCTGCAGGTTAATGCGCTGGACTGCAAGGTCAGCAGTTCAAGCTCACCAGCCACTCCTCAGAGGTTGCTATGGGTTGGAACCGATCCAACAGCACTTAACAACTACCCTCAGTGGTGACGGTGAATTGGCCAAGTGGTGGGAGTTGTGGGGTGTTGAGCACACACCCCCAGGTCTGGCGGGGCCTGAGGAGACCCTGACATCCTCCAGCTCCAAGCTTTTTCTCCTCCCACTCAGGGTAACCTGATGGTACCAGTGCTTATTGGCTGTCCCCCAGGGAAGCGGCTGGCCTTCGACATCACCTTCACAGTGTCCTACAACCAAAACCAGACCAACTACTTCGACTGCGTGAAGGCCGATCCCGAGATGCCCTGCTTCCACTTCCGCAATAGTGCGAATCACCTTCCCCTTTCCTCTTTCTCTGGTCCAGCGCACTCCTTCCATTCATCTCTCTTTCCCCCACTCCTGTCTTCGACTTTCTCCCCACTTTGCTGTCTTGCCTTTCTCTCTTCCCCTTTGCCCCCATCTTTCCCACCTTCAATCCTTCCTTCCTCATTTCTCCTTCCCCACAGGCTGCTCTTCCTCTCTCCCACCCAGTCTCTCTTCCTCCCCGCCCCGCCTTCAGTTTTTCAGCCAAGTTAATTTTTTCTCCTCCTGTCTGAAACCCCTCCAACCCCACAGTCTTCTATCCCTTCTTCTTGATCCAAGACCTGGTGACAGGAGAATCCGGCAGTTTTCAGGGCAGGTAAGTGTGTGGCCAGCCTTGTCTAAGCAGAGGGGCAGGGGGCATAGAACCTCGACCTGTCTATGTGCATCTCTGCTCCCGGCAGCTACGTGCTGAAGGTGGTGGGCGGCGGGCGCACACGGGACACCATCAAGGACTACACTGAGGAGGAAATTCGCCGCTACAATGACCCCCAGGACAAGTACTTCCTGTGGGGCCCCACCCATAACCAAGCCTGCAGATCTTAACTATCCTGCAAATTCCACCCCATCTCCCTATCTCTGACCCAGCCCACCCCACCGGGCCATGAGGCCCCGCCCACCCACAGCTCCCCAGCTGCCCGCACCTTAGCTCCTGCAGCTGAAGCCCAACCTCACTGAAGTAACTAGGTTTTGTCCAGGACGCAAAGCCTCATTTGGACAAGGAGAAACAGGACGATCATAGAGGACTCGGGCATCACCAACCTCATGGGCGTTGAGTGAGTGTGTGGCCTGGCTGCAGGTGCCCCCATCCCCGTGTTCTCTGGCCCTGCCTCATCCATCCCTTCTGCTTCTGCAAGGTCGTTCCAGCCTCAAGACATGTTGACAGACCGCTTTTGGGTTCGTCACATGGGGCCACCCTTTACAAAGGCTAACCCCCCACCCCTCCCACTGGAATACTCATCCCTTTATTATTCATTCATGCCTTAGTTCTTCCAGGAGGGTTTTTATGATTCCTTCCAAAATGGGATTGGGGCAGAGACCTTTATCAGGCCGTCTTCACTCCCCCCCACACCTCTGCCTGTGCCAACGCTCTTTCCCTCTGGACCATTGTAGGCTGTCACTGCCTGTAATGGGGCCCATCTCCCCTACAAGTCCGTGTCCTGAATAGACCCAACCGAGTATTTGCTGAATGGAGGTATCAATGAATGAGGTTCTTGGGTGGCACAAAGGTTTGCTCAGCTCCTAGCCTCAAAGGTTGGTGGTTCAAGCACAGCCATCAGCACAGAGGAAGAATGGAGGCAATGTGCTTCCATGATGATTATAGTCAGGATGCCTGCCCTCGGAACAGTTCCACTCTAACGCATGAGGAGAAATTGACTTCATGGCAACTGGTTTGAGTTTTTTGGTTTTTCTGTGAATGAGTAAAAAAGAGTAAATGAGTACATCAATCCAAAATCAAACCCCTGCCATCGAGTCAATTTGGACTCAAAGCCCCCCCTGTAGGACAGAGTAGAACTGCCCTGGAGGCTTTCCAGGGCTGGTCACTTTTATGGAAGCAGACTGTTGTACCTTTTTCCATGGAGCGGCTGATAGGTTTGCACCACGGACCTTTCAGTTAGCAGCCAAGCTCTTTAACCACTGTGCCGCCAGGGCTCCTGAAATTAGTACGTAGAGGCTCAGTAACGACTTGTGATTCAATGAAAGGAAAACCTTGATGCCATGAGCTAATGGAGGAAGTGAATGAACAAATTAACCAACTTGTACCTAGTCAATATTCACCCTGTGCTCATGGAAGGAAGGGCGAGAGAAAAGAACAGAGATAGGAGTTTTGTCCCTTGTTTAGGTGCTCAGGGTGTGTTTGTAGGGTGAAAGAATGAAGGCAGCAAGGAGTAACTGAGGAGTTGGCACATAATTCCCAGTCGGTCCTTTTGGGATGAGTGCATAGTCACAAATACACCTACTGATGGAGGTGTCCAGGCAAAAGAAAACAAAGGCAGAAACAACAGACTCCTATATGGTAGGTGTTCAGTCAGCGTCTCTCAAGGAATGAAGGAAAGAGTGAGTGAGGGAAGGGAGCAGAGGGAGCCTGGTGGGGCTGTGCAGAGTTCATGGTAGAGGAAGGACTCCGGGTTTGACATACACTCGGCACAATTTGTAACACAAGTGCCTGAACCCCCCCCCCCCCCAGGTGGCTGTGTCTGGAGAACTCCCCATGCTATGATACTGTTCCTGACAGTATATTCGCCCCTGAGTTCTTCTTCAAGGTGCTGGTGAGCAACAGGTGAGCCATGGAGGTGGCCCCCATGGGGGTTGGAGGCTTCTCGTGGGATCCCTTCTCTCACCCTCACTCTGGACCCCATCCCCCACCAGAGGAGTAGACAAGAGCACCTACTGCGACTACCAGCTCATCTTCCTACTACACATCCATGGACTCCCATTCAGCGCCAAACGGTCTTTGTCCTACTTCCTGGTGAGTGGTCGCCCTGGAGCAACCCCTCTGGGTGAGTGAGGGGTCCCAGAAAACCCACTTATGTCCTTTGTGCGGTGCCTGCAGAGATCCCTCACCCTGTTTGTGGAATTCGTGACCCTCTACCTCGCCATCTCCTTCTTATGGCCCTTTACAATGAAGATCTGCAACTTGCTTCACTTGAAGATTAACAACATGATTACCTCGGAATCCTACTATAGCTACATCAGCTCGTCAGGCGTCTTTAGTGTACCGTCCAATGACTCCACAAAGTTCCCCACCAAGCTCAATGCTGAGATGGCAGACCAGGGCAAGGAGAAACCTGAGGAAACCTAGGAAAAGAAATCTCCCAACCTGGGCTGCTTGCCTGCCCCAATGCCCACCTACCCTCATCCTCATGCCCAGGGCCAACCTTGGGAATGAATGCAGCCTGTCGCCCTCCCAGGCCTTTCTCTCTGTTTTGCGGGAATTTCCACTTGTTAAGATCCAAATAAAAACCTCATTTCAGGACCAGCTGTAAGTCCTTGTTAGGGGTCCTGTCCAGTTGATCTGCCCCGGCACAGCTGCAGAGGCGATCCAGCTATCAACCTTCTTGTCTGTCAGCTGGTAAATAGCGACTTCTTTGTGTGTCAGGGTGCCCCAGGTCTCCCTGCAGTCCAGCAGGATCCCCCAGGCCCCAGGTCCATTGCCGTAACCTACACTGTCTTCTGACTGCACTGTGCCCAGGCTGCGCCTGTTGTAGTATAGTGTGGCTGTCAACACCTATGGAGGGGCGTACAGAGGGGACCCCAAAGATGCCTGGATTCTTGTTTTCGTAGCAAGTAGGACACATTTCCCTCAGAATGCCAACGTGGAAATGGAAATTGATGAGTCTTGTTAATGTAGGCAAATTTCAGGTACTGTTTGATCCAGAAGGCTTCCAATAGCAAGCAGAATTCTGGCTCTGGCTCTGTAGCTTTCTGTGTTCTGCCCTCCTCAGAGTGTGGTGTCTGGGCTCAGGTCAGTTCCCCTCTCAATCTGAGGCCTCATTCACATGCCCTGGATGTGGGCCAAACAAGAGAGACCACCCCGATGTCTAACAATCTTGGCCCAAGTTTGGTGTTTCACTCTAGTTAGATGGGTTTGGGTCACAAGTTCACCACTCCACCAATCACACTGCCAGAAGAATGAGATTTTGATTGGCTTAAGCCAGTCAGCTGACCTCTGGAGCTGCCACCCTAATCTCTTGCCAAGAAAGGCAGTTCTTGTAAGGCAAAACGATGTATTGTTGCGAAGGAGAAGAGCAGAGTGGGCAGGAAAAAAAGCAAATGTGACTTGCATTCACTCCCTATCCATCCAGCAAGTTCAACTTCACCCCTTCCCTGGGAGTCTCCTGCCCACTTCCCCCATTCCTCCAGTGATGGAGCCAAGGCACAGGGACCCACTCTGAGGGGACACCAGGGCAGACAGCTGGACCAGCATTGGTCCACAATAAGATAGCACAGCTGTAGAACCAGCCAGGTCTCCGAGGGTGCTCAGAGGAGCAGGTGTAGAAAGATGCTCTGGGTGCCCTGTGGATGTGAGGTGATGGGGCAGGGGTCTGAGCAGAAGCGAGCAGGAGAGGAGGGTGCAGTGAGCAGATTGGATTATGAATGGAGTGCAGACAGGAGGAGCATTTAGTGAGAGGTCTGGGCTCTGCCCCAGGGACAGAGATGAGGAACAGGGGTAAGGAACAGATGTGAGGGGAGACTATCCAGGAGGCTGCAGAAACTCCAGATCTGGGGTTCAGAAGGAGGTCGGGGTGGCCAAGCAGTATGGCACACCAGCAGTACAGACAGATCTATCAGTGAGATTACGGCAGCTACAATAATTCAATAAAAGGAGACTATGATAAGAGAATGTCCTGCTTTGGGCTCCCTTTACTTGGGTTACAGCCAAGTCACCCTCTCGATTTTTCTAGCAGGAAAACACGATCTCTGTCCTCTTTTCACCAGTGAAGAAGCGGAGGCTCGGGTATGCAATGGATGACCACAAAAATAGGCTCCTGGAAAGGCATTGTCTAAAACTCAGCATCATCCCTGACACAAATTCTAAGTAAAAAAGAAATAGGAACTGAACATGATTGCCAAGTGATCTGATTACCAAAGACGGATGGTGGCTACATGCCAAAGCAATTGTCATTAAAATCAAGGACAAAGTGGAAAGGACTCCTCTTAACACTAGTTTTCGATATGGTATTAGATGCAGAAAAAGTGCTGTGTGCTTGGACAACCCAACAGACATCTTGTCGTACAATGAATTACTTAGTGTGGCCCTTTGTAAATCCCACCAAATAACTCAGCAATCCACTGTTATCAAGTTGATTCTGATTCATAATGACCCTCTAAGGGAAAGTGGAGTCCTGGTGTAGCGCTGTGGGTTAACGCGCGGGACTGCAAAGTTAGCTTAACCGTAAGGTTGACGGTTCAAGCTCACCAACTGCTCCTCGGAAACCCTATACAGAGTCGCTATGGGTTGTAGTCGACTCAACGGCAGTTAACAACAACAAGGCAGAGTAGAATTGCTCCTTAGGGTTTCTGAGACTGGAAACCTTTATGGTAGCAGAAAGCCTCATTTTGTTCCTGTCCAGCTGCTGGTGGGTTTGAACCACCCACCTTCTGGTTGTCACCCCAACACTTAGTCCATGGCACCACCAGGGCTCTTAAATGATTAGGTAGTGGTGGTGTGGTTGTGTGCCATAAGTCAGAAACCCGATATATAGTAACCCTGAATAGGGTAAACTTTTGGGGAGCAGAAAGCCTCATCTTTCTCTGTGGAACAGCTGGTAGATTCCAACAATTGATCTTGTGGTTAGCAACCCAGCTGATAATCCACTAAACTACCAGGGCTCCTTAAATGATTGGGTTGTTGTTCTTAAGTGCCATTGAATCAATTCTGATCCCCAGCAACCCTGTATAGGGTTTCCAAGGAGCAGCTGGTGAGCTTGAACTGCCAACCTTGCAGTTCAAATGGCTTTGCAGTGTGGCACATTAACCCACAGCACCACACCAGGACTCCAAAATGATTGGGTAGGACTATGCAAATATGAGATGCTTTGGGCTCACCAAGGGGATTGGATACCTTGCTAATACTGTCAATAGAGTACATGGCACTGTTTGGTGAGACCATGCAAATAAGGTGTAATGAACCCAAACATGGGGATTGGCCAGTTTTTTACTATCTCACTAGGCTCACATGGCTATCCCAGAGGCAGAAAGGGGGACCTCATGACCACCAAGAAGGAGGGTCCCCTGTACAGAGAACTTCCTAGACCCAGAAGATAGAGAACTGTGACACTGGGGATGGCGAGAGACAGTGAGAAACAGAACCAAGAGACCAGCGTAAGACCCTACCCAGAGAAGCAGTGATGCCTGAAATGGAGCCAGAGATGATGACGTGGAGCGATGGAGCAGCTGGAGACTTTAGATCCAGAGAGGGA